TCTAACATTATTCTGATGTTCCTCCCTCCGTACATAAGGAATCTCTTCCCCCTAACTGCCCTTAAGATGGTTTCCTTGGTTCTAAGATTTGCAAGTTTTGCTATTACATGCCGGGGTGTTGGCCTGTTTTCCTTGATCTTGGGAGGGATCCTCTCTGCCTCTAGGACACAAATGTTTGTTTCATTCCCCAGATTAGGGAAGTCCTCAGCGACGATTTGCTCAAATACATCTTTAGTCCTCTCTCTCTCTCCACTCCCTCCAGGATTCCAATTATTCTGACATTGGAACGCTTCATGGTGTCACTTATTTCTCTGGTTCTATTTTCATGGATTCTGAGTTGTTTTTCCCTGGCCTCCTCTTTTCCCTTTTTATCTCTTAAATTGTCTCCTAGGTCGCTTATTTGTTATTCTGCCTCACGTACCCTAGCTGTTAGATTATCTAGGTTAGATTGGATCTCATTGATAGCATTTTTAAGTTCTGCCAATTCAGCTTTCATTTCTGCCATTAGAGACTCTATGTTGCCATTAATTGATTTCTCCATTCTAGCCATTGTCTTCACAATTGCTAGCCTGAATTCCATCTCCAACATCTTGGTTATATCTGCATCCATTTGTAAATCTGCGGCATAAGTCATAATCTCTGAGTCTTCTAATTTAGGGGTTCCTCCTCCTAGTCATTCTGTTGATGGGTGGTTGAGGGAATATATAGAGTCCAAATTATTGACCAGAATCCAAGCAAGATGCACCTTTTTTCTAGGGACCTTAGGGTTGCTGGCCTCTTGTTTTCCCAGGCTGTCTTCTGGGGTAGGGGCCTGCCATGCTGTTACTCAGGCAACCCTGTTTGGGCGGAGTTGCCCTGCCCCCCTGTGGCAGGGGATGGTCTCAGTGGGAATCAGTTTATTGGGGCTTTTGTTCTCTGGCGGCTTTCCATGTCTCTTCTGAGAGTCAGAGCAGAAGAGACCATTTCCAACCCTCTGCCTCAGAGCAGAGAGATCGCAATCTGTTCTTCAGTGAGCTCTCTAGGCCACACTGTCTCCGTTTCTGTCTGTGCTGCTATAAAGTGCAGCGTCCTGCGTTGTGCACCTCTCTGCAGCTCTCCCAGTCCTTCCTCCAGGTCGTGGCATGTCTCTGCCCTTTGTGTTTCTAAAACGCCAGCCGCTCCCAGTTCACATGCGCGACCCCACGACCCCACTTCTCCGGGTTTCCATCCTGGGGGGCTGCCCTAAAGTCCTTTCCCTGCCGGTACCGGTACCGTCTGCGAGTCTGTGCTCCATCCCCAGCGCATGAGGCTGTCACTCACCGGTGGTGTAGGATCCCCACGGCCAGGCTCCCTCCCACAGCCGTTTATCCTCCGATACCTGCCTGCAGAATCACAGCTCCCCGCTTCGTACCTTGAAACCAACCGCCTGCGATATTCTGTTTGTAGAGATCCAGATCTATTTTCTTACATCTCAGGCTGATTTCGTGGGTGCTCAGAGTGGTCTGGTAGATATCCAGCTCAATTCCGGGGACCAGTTGAAATAGGGTCCCCTACTCCTCTGCCATCTTTTTTTCTCACAGTCTGCCATCTTGTATTCACTCTCAGCGATCTCGGGTGGTTGTATTTGGTATTTTATCCAGCGTGTTATCAGCAGAAGGATGGGCTGTAGGATGTATAGGCTGGTCATGTAAGAGCGAGAATTCTGTTATTTTTGGGAAGATGGTTCTCTTCCTGGCTCCAGCCTCACCAGTCTGATACAAGAACATGTCACACACACTAACACTTCTCTGCCTTTGTTTAATTTGTTTCTTCTATCTAGAACTTCCTTACCTCCTCTACTACATGAAATTAAATGCATTTTTCAAAGCCCAGGAAAAAGTCTTTCACTTTATGAAAACTAATCCACCTCACCTTGTTGCCCCCCCTTCCTATTTCTGTGCGCCCAGGGCACTTTACTGATACTGATAGTGTAACATTTATGTTTCAAAGCATGTTTCATAATTATTCCTCAAATATTTTTTTTTTAAGATTTTATTTATTTATTTGAGAGAGAGAATGAGATAGCATGAGAGAGGGGAGGGTCAGAGAGAGAGGCAGACTCCCCACTGAGCAGGGAGCCCGACGTGGGACTCGATCCTGGGACTCCAGGATCATGACCTGAGCCGAAGGCAGTCGCTTAACCAACTGAGCCACCCAGGCGCCCTATTCCTCAAATATTTATCAAATACCTATCTTACACCACTTTTTCTTGTTTATTCTTTTAAATAAAAACAGTGAAAGCTTAAAAAACAGGAGCTCTTGGGAGGGAGGGGGCTTTTGTGTGTTGGGTAGAGGGCTAGGAACACAGAAGCAGATAGATGACTAGAGAGGCTTGTATCTTGGGAATTACAGCAAACAAAAGAAAGAGATATATGGGACATGCTAGTCTATCTGCCCACAGTGTTTCTAAGAAAATGGAAATTAGTCACTGGATGAATAAAAAACTTAGTTGATATTGATCAGGGATGGATTTTATATGTTAAGGTCCTTGTCAGTGGTATTGACATGAAAATAATGAAAATGAAATCACTAGAACAGTCAGATATGTAAATTACAATACAAATACAAAGAATTTTATAGCGATACAGCCTTATCTTTTCATATCCCCAGTGATTTTAACCTGTTTGCTGCTTTACATGTTTCACCTTTGGGGTAGGGACCTTAGATTAGGAGATATGAAAAGAGAAACGGCTTCTGGCCCAACATAGGGCATGTCACCCATTCATTAAGAGAGAACATTGTGCATTTTAAATGCTTTATTTTGTGGAGGTATAGGCAATAAATGATATCTGGAAAAATATCCTTTAAAAGAGTTGGTTAATTAAAGATGGATATTGAGTCTGGTACCTAGAGTGTACATTTACAGTCTAAAAAATGAGCAAAAAAAAATGTTTTTTAATTTATTTACTTTTGGAGAGTGTGTGAGCAGGTGGGTGAGGGTCAGAGGGAAAGGGAAAGAGAGACTCTCAAGCAAACTGTCCACTCAGTGCAGAGCCTGACACAGGGCTCAATCCCACAACCCTGAGATTGACCTGAGCTAAAATCAAGAGTCCGATTCTCCACTGACTGAGCCACCCAGGTACCCCCAGAAATGAGCAAAAATTTAATAACTGTAGAATTTCTGTCTGTAAATGCCATCTAGTAGCTTCCTATATGTCAAAGATTTCTTTCATGAGTCTCTGGCATTAACTTTCATTTTTCTTTCTTTTGTGTAGATGTTTCTTTCTCAGCAAAATAGAAGAGAAGCTTACTCTTCCTCCTGGTGATCATAGTATGTCCATGGATGGTGATAGAGATTGTAGTGATACAGTGGAAGTTCAGGAGCAGGGAGAAGAGGTCTGTTCTCTGATTAAGAACTGTATGTTCTCCATGAAAATGAAGATGGTAGAAAGTGCAAGAAAGCAGGTGGGTACTTATATTTGTGGTTCTCTATTGTAGCACCAGAATTTTCTTAAATTAGCTGTTTTTTTTAACTTAGCTTTTCCTTAAAATCTGAAGCTTAAAGGTAATTGAGTAGTAATTTTTTCTCCTTAAAAGAAAGTAAAATTGAAGAAACAGTTAAAATTATCCAGAAGGCTCTAAAGTTTACTGTGTACTTGTTAATCATGAGAAAATAATTATTTTCTGTTATTAAAAAGCAAAATAAACCCAACATCAGGTTTGATCTTGTTTAACAAAATCAGTGCTTTCCAGTTAGTTACAAATTGTATTTAGGTTTATTTTGTGGAAATATGTCATTTGATAATATCCTTTCTTGAAAATAAGTATACTTTGCTTATAATTTGCATATAAACTAAATATATTAAATCACACTTTTCATGTAATTAAATCACATTTTAATATACTGGGGGAGCTTGCTCTTTTAATGACCCTGTATTAATAGATTGCTGTTATAAAGCAAAGAATGTTATTCCAGTAGAAATAATTAATATTTCTGTTTGTAAGTTTAAATGCTCATTTATAGGTTTTTCTTTGAGATGGGTGTTGTATCAGTTAGGAATTTTTATATTTCAAATAACAGAAAACCCAACACAGAGCAGCCTAAGTGAATAAAAGAAATCTATTAGTTCCCATGAATAAAGAAGTCTAGAAGATCTGGCTTTTAAATACTCTGAAATATTATCACCAGGGACCTGCTTTCTCTCCCTCAGTTCTCTCTTCTACCATATTGGTTTTGACCTCAGATTCTTACGTAGTGAGTCCCTCTGGCAGCGCCAGGCTCACCCTTTTTAGTTGGAAATGGCTGTAGATGTTCCATATCTTCCTTCCTCTACACTATGTTTTCTTGGAATTAGAGACAGTCTCTCTCTATTTCTTGCAGAAAGAAGGAAGATCCTTTTCATTAGCTGTAATTGCAGCTGGGGCCATCTTCCAAGGCACACAGCTAAGGAGGGGTATGTGTGGCTTCTTAGCAGGAAGTTAGGGTACTTGGGCCAGATAGAGAGACAACACATGCTACCTAGTGCTGCTCAAACTTCTCCAAAGTGGGGAGGGTCCTGATGAGAGAGAGGAAGGAAATGAGCCACAAGTACATTATTTAGAAACATGTAAGAATCACTAGGATCGCTAAAAACCTTTTATATGACACGGTGGCTTTTCTTAGGAATTTTTTTATAATAAATAAGAGCTATCAATACCAGTTAGCTATCAATACCAGTAATACTGGAGGTGAAGAGAAAAAATAGTTCCAGTCTGAAGATTACTATAAAACCTTCAGTGTGTTTCAGTTTACCTGCCCATACTCTTCAAAACTCTTGAAAAGTGGAAGTGAAATTTGAGTTTTGCCTCTTCATCACCAAGCACAACATTAGGTGCTGGAGATACCACGCTGAATAAAATATGGACATGTAGACAAACAATTATAGTATGATAATACTAAAGGACACTCACATGGGAAGGACACCTGACTTGCCTTGTGGGAACAGAAAGCTTCCTGGAGTTGGAGGTCATATCTAAGTTGGGAACTGAAAGGTGAAATACGATGGAGGGAATAACGTAGAAGACCCAGGAATGACCCTGGGCATTTGGTTTCCTAAGTGGAGTGGTAGTTGAACTTGAACACCTACTTAATGGCTGTGCTGCTTTGTGCAGGAAGCCCTGGGATGGAGGTGACCGGATAAACAGTTTTTTGGTTTTTTTTTTAAGCTTTTATTTATTTATTTATTTATTTATTTATTTATTTGAGAGAGAGCATGAGTAGAGGGGGAGAGGCAGAGGGAGAAGCAGACTCTCCACTGAGCAGGGAGCCCGATGTGGGACTCAATCCCAGGACCCTGGGATCATGACCTGAGCCGAAGGCAGACGCTTAACTGACTGAGCCACCCAGGCACCCCAGATAAACAGTTTTAAAACAGTGTTTTGACTGTAGTGAGAGAAACGATTGGAGGAAGGGCAAAGGGTTGCCCAGCTTCGGTATTAGTCCATGTAATTGATAAGGGCAGCCAATCTAGGTTAGAGTCTGGGAAGTAGAGATAAGTGTACAAGTTCAAGAAAAAGGAGGCATGGATGAGGCACTGTGACTGGTTCTGTTCAGGAGGGGAAAGTAGGATTCCCAGGCTTCTGCCTGTGTAGCTGGGTGGATGGGAACGCAGGAAGAAGAGCAGTTTGTAGGGCAGATGGTACATTCAATTCAAGACATATTGAATGTGGGAGGCCTTTAAGACAAGCAAGTTGTGATTTCTATTAGATAATTTGTACATAAGAAATCTAAAGTTCTGGGGTGCCTGGGTGGCTCAGTCGTTAAGCGTCTGCCTTCGGCTCAGGTCATGATCCCAGGGTCCTGGGATTGAGCCCCGCATCGGGCTCCCTGCTCTGCAGGAGGCCTGCTTTCCCTCTCCCACTCCCCCTGCTTGTGTTTGCTCTCTCGCTGTGTTTCTCCCTGTCAAATAAATAAATAAAAATCTTAAAAAAAAAAAAAAAGAAATCTAAAGTTCTGGCGAAAAAGAGCTGTGCTTGCAATAGAGGTATGAATGTGATCGGCACGTGGACTGTCACTGAAGCCACAGGAGTGGATAAGGTGATGAGGGCCAGTTGCCAAAACATACCTACAGCTTTGGGAGGAGCAAAGGGAGAGGTGTCCCCAAAGGAGCTGAAACCAGATTGTGACATTAGAGGATGACCAAGAGGCTGAGCCCACAGGGAGGGGCAGAAATCATCAGTGCCTGTTATCCAGGAGGACAAAGGCGTGCAGAGACTAAAGTGCCCTTGCATTGAGGAGGGGAGGCTTGTGCTGACTTCAGTGAGAACCATTTCACTGAAGCAGAAGTCAGATCATAGTGGGTAGAAGAAAGATAAGGGTAGAAATATGGGGACAGTGAGCACGGGCTGCTCCTAAGGAAGCCATGATGAGGAAGAGCAAGTGGGCTCAGGGAAGGGTTTGGATTTTTAGGTTGGAGGAGACTGGGGATGTTTAAAGCTTAATGGTAGGGAAAGAATGGACATACAGTGAGGAATAACTAGTTAAATAGGATTTCTTGTGGAGTTGATGGGGACAGGATTCAGGCAGAGGTGAATGGAAGAACTCCTCTGTTCTCTCTGGGAAGCGGGCAGTGAGGCCCTCTGCAGAGCCTGAGCTGAAGAGATCTGAGAATAGTGGGGGAGTGGTGGGTTATTCTGGGCTGTGGTGGAGGGGCTGGCGAGCCATGGAAGAACTGTCAGTGCTGTCTCTGGTGAGTCTGAGTAGAGGAGCAGACAAGGCATGCACTTCGATGTACCCAAGAGTGTGGTTTTGCCAGGTGGGCATAACAGGGACAAAGGCTGGTGATCTGAGAGTATTGCAAAGAGAGTGGTGTGAGTAGCTGGCTGGCTTAATTGCACATGGAAGGAAGCAGAAACAAAAGGAAGGCAGGTAAAGTTACCAGAGGTCTTAAGGTTATAAAGCAAACGTAGCAAGAATTTGGTGGGTAGAGTGGGTTTGTAGTCAGAATGGTTATGATTTGGGGCGCCTGGGTGGCTCAGTTGGTTAAGCGACTGCCTTCGGCTCAGGTCATGATCCTGGAGTCCCTGGATCGAGTCCCGCATCAGGCTCCCTGCTCGACGGGGAGTCTGCTTCTCCCTCTGACCCTCCCCCCTCTCATGTGCTTGCTCTCTCTCATTCTCTCTCTCTCAAATAAATAAATAAAATCTTTAAAAAAAAAAAAGAATGGTTATGATTTGAGGTTAGGAATTTGGTGGTGAGGAAGTTCTGAGTAGTGATGAGGATCACAGTGTGGCTAAGAAACTGCACCCAGCAATGTCAGGGGCGGGGTTGGGAAGCTACTATTCCTGCTCTTGTGATCACTGTCTAGCGAGACAACAAGAGCTGCACTTCCACCCAACAACAGCACAAGATGGTTGAAGAAAAGAGAGGTCACCATGCTAGGAAAGCCCGGAGAAGAAGAGAGATTCTGCCTGGTAGGAGGGCTTGCTGGAGAAGAAGGCATTTGGATGGGGCTTTATGGAAACGGTAGGGTTTGCACTTTGAGAAGAGAAAAAGGTGTATAGATACAAGATATATTCAAACAAAATCATGGAGGTGAGAAGCTGGGAATTGCAGTCTGCTTTGGACATGGTGGCTCAGTTGGAAGCTATATGGATGATTGCTGAGGAAAAAGCAGAGAGACTGTGAAGTCTCAAACTAGGAAAGCGGTGGTAGGAATGCAAACAATGTGAAAGATGCTCTAGAAGTGATGTAAGAAGCCCCGAGATAGTAAGAATGATGGAGAGGATGCAGCTGAGGATGGCTCAGGTTTTTAGCCTACGTAGTTGAAAGGGTAGCAATGAACAAAACATGGGTCTGATGAAAATGTCTTTGAAACTTGGTAGAGAAAGTTTAAAAGACATCCACATAACAACCAAACAAATAAAAAAATAGATAAATGATACATCAAAATTTAGAAATTCCTGTGCCTCAAGTAACACACTCAAAAAAGTGATGAGACAACCCATACAATGTGAGAAAATATTGGGAAATCATATATCTGATAAGGGTCTACTACCCAGAACACATAAGGGAACTCTTTATAACTGAACAACAAAAACTCAAACAATCCAACTTAAAAAATGGACAAAGAATTCTAAATAGACATTTCTCCAAAGCAGATATACAGATGGTTAACAAGCACATGAAAAGATGTTCAACATTATAAGTTATTAGGAAAATGCAAATCAAAACCACACAAGATACCACTTCACACCCACTGTAATCAAAGAGACAATAACAAGTATTGGTGAAGATGTGGAGAAATTAGAACCCTCATACATTGATGATAGGAATGTAAAATGGTGCAGATGCTGTGGAGAACAGTCTGACAGTTCCTCAAAAAGTTAAACATAGAGTTACCATGTTACCCACCATTTCCACTCCTAGGTGTGCAGGAAAAATGAAAGTGTATGTCCACACAGAAATTTGTACGTAGATGTTTACAGTAGTAGTATTCAAAAGGTGGAAACAGCCCCAAAATCTATCAATAGATAAATGGATAAATGTCTTCTATCCATGGAACAGAATATTACTCGGCCATGTGAAGGAATAAAGTATGAATACACACTGTAACTTGGGCGAACCTGGAAAAGACTTTGCTAAGTGAAAGAAGACAGATAAAAATCACCACGCTTTCTGATTTCATTGATAGGAAATGTCCAGAATAGGCAAATCCATAGATACAGTAAGTAGTTCAGTGGTTTGCCCATGGCTAGAGGGAATGGGGATCAAATGCTCATAGATAAAGGGTTTCTTTTTGAGGTGATCAAATGTTCTGGAACTAGATCGTAGTGATTGTTGCCCACCTTTGTAAATGTATTAAAAGACAGAACTGTACACTTGAAATGTGAATTCTATCCCCATGATAAATAAAAAGACATCTACGTAATTTAAGCTGAGGAGATGGGTTCGCTGCTCTAAGGTGAGTTATATCATGCAAAAAGGGAAGCAGGCCAATTAAAAATTTCTGTCAAATAATTTTATTTCTAAGTAATCACCTGTGTGTTATCATACCACTTTCTCTCTTCTATAGCACAGTTTCTCGCTTGCCATGAAACTACTGAAGGAGCTTCATAGAGAGTCAAAAACAAGAGATGACTGGCAGGTGAAATGGGTGCAGAGCTACTGCCGGCTCAGCCACAGCCGGAGCCAGGGCCAGAACGGCCCTGAGCAGATTCTCACGGCGCTGAAAACAGTCTCCTTGCTGGGTAGGAGGCTGTTCTTATCTATGTAAATAAGTTCAACAGTACTATTTTATGTTATGTCTCTGTGTTTTTTAAAACTTCTTTTGCTGCTTTATCTGACATTTGGGAATTAAATCTTGTAATAATCTTATTAAATATTTGGAGCCAAGGTACTTTGTATCCTAATAATGCTATTGAATATGGTACTTGGAGATTTTATTTCTTTACTGATCAAATAAAATTGAAATTAAGCTTTTTTCTTTAATACTTATGCAAATTATGGGTCTAATAGTTTAATTATTTTGAAAACCTTGTTTACTTACAAGAATTGCCTTTTAAAAAATTGAACATGAAACACCTTTTTCCTCCTCAGCTTTTCTTTTTTTATAACATAGCCTTCAAAACTGAGGGGAGAAAAAAATTTCACTATGTGAGTTTTGGATCCACTCCATCTGCTTTGCTGCCCTATGTCCCAGGGTACGTAGCAGCACTATTACTGACCGTGCTCACAACCATATGACAGGGAATTATATCAGCGTATCAGTCCCAGTAAAAATGCAAATAGGAGAAGCAGGCCTTCCATATTTATCAGGATCAGAAAATCATCCTTATGACTGCTTAAATATTTTTAGGGTTTTTGGATGGGGGGAATGGAGGAGAGGAGGAGGAGTTAGCTGATACTAAGATAACATTAGTACTCCTAATAATAATTCTACAGTTTTAGTAGTCATACTATGGCTGTAGTTTGTAACTGTCTTGTGAAATAGTAGGGCCAGTAGTTTTGAACATGTATCTGAGGGTAATCTGGCAGAGTATTTTCATGGATGGATGAGCAGGGCAGAATGGTTGTTGGGACTTGCTGGGTGACAGCCCCTTCTTTTTTGTGCCCCTTCTTATACCTTCTCTGTAAGCTGCAGGCTTGACCAGGGCTGGTAAGCTCCTTCCCCAGAGTAAGACATAGAACTAGACCTTTACATGCAGCAGTATCTGTTGTTTTATCAGCTATAAATCACATTAGCAACTTAAAAATCTACTCTGGTTATTAATGTATATGCACAAATGCATTAAAAAGAGACATTTTCTTTCCTTTATAATAGATTTAGGTGCTTTGACAAAATGCAGAATGATGGTGCTTGAATAAAAGTTTATTCAGTGTTTTAATTACCTTAGCCTCTGTAGACTTTGATACAGTCACTGCTAACAAAGAACATTTTTCATTAATGTGAGTTCAAGAAATTCCCTAACCAATGTTTGAAGCCAGTTTCTTATACTTAACAAGATTTATTTTAATTTCTTAATAGAAAACAACTTTTGTACACTATGAGTATCTTTTTTTTAATTTATGGCATTCATTTATTTCTGAGAAAATCATGTGTGTGTATGTGTGTGTTTTTAATCCAACAGGTGAGAGCACATCAAGTTACTTAAGCAAAAATGTTCTGGCTTTCCATGACCAGAATATTCTCTTGGGTACAACTTATAGAATCATAGCTAATGCTCTCATCAGGGAGCCAACCTGCCTTGCTGAAATCGAGGAAAGCAAGGCTAGAAGAATCTTGGACCTTTCTGGATCCAGCTCAGAGAATGCAGAAAAGGTAATGAGTGAATTTGTGTTTGTGTGTTGTACGTCTGTAATGTGCAGCCTTCTAGCTACACAAAAGAAATAATGAGAAATGATTGCTTTGTGTTTTGAAAATGTATTTGACAGTTATGCACAGCCAAGTTTCTTATGTGGAAAACTGACCTACTCCATGTGTTTCCTGCTTATTTGAATAATATAGATTGTTTTAGTATTAGAAGTGAGGAATTTGTGTTGGATTGATGTGGACAGTTCTTCCAAGAATTTTGTTAGTGGATTTCACCACCAGTCGCCATTCAGATGTCCCATTAGCTTGTGGAGCAAACCAGCCTTTTCCACTTTTTTATGTAGTGTCTGCTTTGCCTAGCTTTTGTCAGATGATTTTGTATTTTCCATAGTTAGCAGCCTCTCCTTATCTCCCTGTGCCCACCTCACTTTAGTTGTTAGCCTCACCTTCTTCCTCCTCAGTGTTACTACCAACATCTGTGCAGGGCGGTAAGGGTGAAGCACCAACTTCCATCTCTTCTTCAGTTCCTGACAGGCTGCATGACCCCCCATTGATCTTTGGTGCCAGCTCTGCATGACCAGTGGGCCGTCTGGGTTTTAAAAGTACTGAGGATCAAACTGGAATCGCTCACTGTTTCACAATCAGGGCAGACAGACTCCCTTTTCCATTTAACCAGCTTTCTGTGTTATCTCATGGCTCACAAATCACAAGTATTCTTTCTGTATCATCACAAGTAGAAAGTAGAGTTCTTCCAGAAAATTTAAGCTGTACTCACAGGTTCATAGCTGAGACCTCTGTGAATTCTAGGTGATCGCAGGTCTGTACCAGAGAGCATTCCATCACCTTTCTGAGGCCGTGCGGATAGCTGAGGAAGAGGCCCAGCCTTCCCTCAGGGGCCACGGTCCTGTAGCCAGCCTCACAGATGCTTACATGACACTGGTGGATTTCTGTGACCAGCAGCTCCGCAAGGAGGAGGAGAGTGCATCAGGTGAATCACAAAAGGAAAAACCATTTAGTTTGTAACATTGTGTTAGCCAAAGTCTTAAGACTTCTATAGATACTTTAGGTTTCCTCTTTGCTTGTTTTTATTTATTTATTTGTTTATTTAAAGATTATATTTATTTATTTGAGAGAGAGAGCGCATGCACACATGAGTGGGTGGAGGTGCAGAAGGAGAGCGAGAGAGGGAATCTCAAGCAGACTCCGAGCTGAGCTCAAAGCCAGACGCAGGCCCGATCCCACAACCCTGAGATCATGACCTAAGCTGAAATCAAGAGTCAGATGCTCATCTGACTGAACCACTCAGGAGCCTCTGCTTGTTTTTAAATGACAGGTATTCTGAGATAATTTTGTCTTTTTAAGAGGCAATGACATCTTCAAGCAACACGACCTGCATATAAACAGAGTCAAGCTATCTTGTCTTTCCATTTGCTTATAGTTTCTACATTTTACTTGTAGCTTTGGTAATATTGGCTTTGTAACCTGCCTCTTGGTCCTGAAATAAATTCAATAACCAGGAGCTGCTCTATGTTCCCACCCAGCCCAGGAAGGAAACTACGCTGCATGCAGAATGCATGATCCAGCGAAGAGTTCAGCTTCAAGATGGAAGCTTTTACATACGGACCAAAACTGCATCTGGTGTTTGTTGATCTAAAGTACTTGTTAAAAAAAGAGAACAGTGACATATTACAAAATATAAGCCCAAAAGGGAAATATAGTCATTTGTTAAATTTATAGTTTATGTATGTATAAGTGGATATACTGACCATTGTTTTCTCTCCTGTCCTTGGTAGTTACTGAGTCTGTAGAACTTCAGACGTATCCAGCCCTTGTGGTGGACAAAATGTTGAAAGCTTTAAAACTGCATTCCAATGAAGCGAGGCTGAAGTTTCCCAGACTGCTGCAGATTATAGAGCTATATCCAGAGGAGACCCTGAGCCTAATGACAAAAGAGGTTAGTGTCTGTATTCTAATGATGAGAACTTTACAGAACTTAGACATGTTTCTGTTTATATCTAAACACATCAGTATGTGCAATGCATATGTTATAGGTTTTCCTAACCAGCATTGCATTTTACTATATTCCAAGAACATATATAATTTAAAGCTATATAAAAGAGTGTTCACATTTACCCATTTTCCTCTGTGGGTGTTGATAAGAACACTGTGTCTGAACAAGGACCTCAGAAAGAGGAGGAGATATGTCTGGGACAGAGGTGGGAATTTTCTGTAGCACAGTTTGCTGGCCAGAATTACTAAGCTGTAGTCTGGAACATCTGTTGGTGCCTTATGCTCAGTTTATTATTTATCTCAGAGAGAGGGAGTACATTTCAGCTGGCATCCCACCCCCGGTGACTGTAGTGCCTGCTGGCAGTACCACGTTCATGAGGATCCCGAGGCCTCCAAGCATGCAGGGAGCAGCTAGGGTGTGCGGGCACTCCCCCACAGTGTTCTGTTCACTACTTGTATGTCCCGTGCAGGCCTCTCCTGACACGGGGCTGCATCAGCCTACTGTCTTTCTGTTATTTGAGCCATCTGAAAGACTGCTTAATGACTTTTGTAGATGTTTAACTGCAAAATAGGGCCAGGCTTTGAGTCGATAATATAATAGTTCAAAAGGGTAACATAGCACTCTGTTGGCTTTACGTAGTAAATTTTTAAACAGTGCTGGTTTCTGAGCTGTGGAGACTCAGTGCCTGGCAGGGCTTTACTACATACTCTGACCCTCTTGTGGTTTTGGAAGGATGGGATTTTTTTCAATACGTCCTAAAAAGGGATTAAAGTAACTTCACAAATGTAATAGATACATGTGTGTATGTTTTTCTTAAAGATTAGTGAAGAAATGATTAAATAAATTATGATTTTAGTTTTCCCAAAATAATATTTATGTATGGTGAAGATAGCATTTCAAATTTGTGAGGAAATAAATGGAATATTCAGTCAGTGTTGTTATGGCACTGGGGAATCACTTGAGATGGGGAACTAACCTTTATTGAGCACTCCCTGTGAGCTATGTGGACCGATGCCTTTTATCCCCACATACTTTGCTCTTTCCTCAGTTAGTAGATGAGGGTAGGAAGCTTGCCATGTTCACTCCTTACACCAACATTCCAAGTGCATCAGATTTTATCTTAAAATTAACACATTAAAAAAGCATTAGAGGAGGGGCGCCTGGGTGGCTCAGTTGGTTAAGCGACTGCCTTCGGCTCGGGTCATGATCTCAGGGTCCTGGGATCAAGCCCCACATCGGGCTCCCTGCTCGGCAGGAAGCCTACTTCTCCCTTTCCCACTCCCCCTGCTTGTGTTCCCTCTCTCTTTGTCAAATAAATAAATAAATAAAACTTAAAAAAAACATTAGAGGAAAAAAAAAGATACATGAGCAAATTTTGAAAGTGACCTTGGAATAAAAAGACAAAATCCAGAAGCTGAAAAGGAAAAGAATCAACACTTCCCTGCAGGGGAAAAAAACAAAAATATATACAAAGTTAAAAAACTGCCAGAAAAATATTTGCAACACATATTAGAGACAGAGCTGATGTCTCCCTCTAAAAAAAAATAGACCAGTAGAAAATGGTCAGAGGAAATGCATGCATGATTTAATATGTAAGAAGAATAAAGATAGACCATTTACCCTTACTAAGAAAGAAACATGAAAATTAAAATTAGATCTTTTCACCTCTCAGACTGACAATAAATTAAAAAAATTCATTGTCTCCTGTGTTGGATTTGTAGTCAACTGAATACACTGTTTCTTAATTGAATATATAATTGACATAACAATATCATAAGTTTCAGGCATACAGTAAAATGATTCAACAATTCTGTGCATTATTCAGGGCTCATCACGACAAGTATAGTTACCATCTGTCATCATACCCTGTTATTACAGTATTGTTACTGTATTCCCTATGCTGTACTTTACATCCCCGTGACTTATTTATTTTATAATTGGAAGTTTGTACTTCTTAATCCCCATGAACTATTTTGCTCATCCTGCCACATCCCTCCCCTCTGGCAACCCCTAGTTTGTTCTCTGTATTTATGCATCTGTTTCTGTTTTTTGTTTGTTTATTTGTTCTTTAGATTCCACATATAAGTAAAATCATATAATATTTGTCTTTCTTTGACTTATTTCACTTAGCATAATACCTACTAGGTCCATCCGTGTAGTCACACATGGCAGGATGTCATTCTTACATAAACCACATCTTCATCATCCATTCATCTATTGATGGACACTTGGGTTGCTTTTATATCTTAGCTATTGTAAATAATGCTGCAGTAAACATTAGGGTGCAGATATCTTTTTGAATTAGTGTTTTTGTTTTGAATAAATACCTAGAAGTAGAATTACTGGACTGTATGGTATTTCTATTTTTAACTTTTTGAAGAACCTCCTTACTGTTTTTTCCACAGTGGCTGCACCAATTTACATTCCCACCAACAGTGCACAAGGGTTCCCTTTTCTCCACATCCTCACCAAAACTTGTTTCTTGTTTTTTGTTACTAGCTATTCTGACAGGTGTGAGGTGATATTTCATTGTGGTTTTGATTTGCATTTCCCTGTTGATGAGTGATGTTGAGTATCTTCATGTGTCTGTTGGCCATCTGTATGTCTTCTTTGGAAAAATGTTTACTCAGGTCTTCTGCCTATTTTTAATCAGACTGTTTTTTTGGTGTTGAGTTACTTGAGTTTCCATTATGCTTTTAAAAAATAAAAATATGAAAAATCATTTTGGAGGGAAATCTAGCAATGTTTTTTTACAGTTGTTAGTGTTCACACAGTAATGTTACTTCTAGAAATTTATCCTATGGGCACACATAGCACAAGTACAAAGAGAGAAACATGTAGAAATGTCCACTGTAGCATTATCTGTAATAGCAAAACTTAGAAAATAACCTAAAAATTCATTATACATCAGTAATTAACTGAAACAATACTATACAGCTGTTAAAAAGAAAAGTAAATCTATCTATTCACCTAAGAAAAACCAGCAACAGTATATCTAGTCTGATTCCATTCTTTACAAGAATGGATATTTGTGTACATACATACAAAACATCTAAAAGAATGGAATGGTGCTTCAGTGGAATAAGAACCAAGAGGGCTGAGGGAGAAAAGATGTTTTATTTTAGACTTATGTCTGTTCTTATGCTTCTGATTATAGATACACATTTTTTATATTGGGCACATAATACTTTTATAATAATAAAACAGTGTTAAAAGTTTTATTCATTATTAAATTACAGCTCTCTTTGTTTTAGATTTCTTCCATTCCTTGCTGGCAGTTCATTGGCTGGATCAGCCATATGGTGGCCTTATTGGACAAAGAGGAAGCTGTTGCTGTCCAGCACACTGTGGAAGAGATTGCTAATAACTATCCACAGGCAATTGTCTACCCATTTATAATAAGTAGTGAAAGCTATTCCTTCAAAGATACTTCTACTGGTCATAAGAATAAGGAGTTTGTGGCAAGGTGGGTTGATCAAGTACTGTAGGTTATAGAGTGTATGGTAGAAGCAAACATATGAGGGCTCTCAGTCAGTGGAGCACAGGACTCCTGGTCTTGGGGTCCTGAGGTCAAGCCCCATGTTGGGCATAGAGCTTACTTAAAAAAAAAAAAAAAAACACATGGAAGCTTGTGTTTGTCTTCAAATTAATTAGAGCCGTCATTTAAAAAATAGAAAATCTTAGACATCTATTTGTTGAATGTATCTACCCCAGGTATGTTATTTGTCACAGAATTTCTTCCCTTTTTTAAAAAAATTGTATTCATTTATTTGAGAGAGAGAGAGAGAGAGTGTGAGAGAGAGAAAGCATGAAAGGGGAGAGGGTCACAGGGAGAAGCAGACTCCCCACTGAGCAAGGAGCCCGATGCAGGACTCGATCCCAGGACCCTGGGATCATGACCTGAGCTGAAGGCAGATGCTTAACCCACTGCTTTTTTTTTCTTTTAAAGTAAACTACACCCAACGTGGGGCTCCAAATTACAACCCAGAGATCAAGAGTTGCATGCTCTACTGACTGAGCCAGCCATGTGCCCCTGAATTTCTTTCCTTTTTTAAAATACATTTCATCTTAGAATGATATTCGTGAAACATTCTGTCTTATAATAGTAATAGTTGACAGTAATAGCTGATTGAGGCAGACTAGATGAGATGCTTTTTGAAATCAGTTCCTGAAATTGTTCTTTAATTCAAAATACCTGGGAAGTCCCTCTTAATAAGGATTCAGTAGGCTGCCTGAAGTGCCATCCTTTTCATTTTTCCATTTGATTTATAGGTGGAGACTGTTGACATAACTAGCAATGATGTATTAGTTTTGCAAGAATACTTGGTAAATACATGGTGTTTTAGGCATTCTCTGTTAAGAGCTTTTTTTGTCATGAGTTCATTTGTCTTATTAGAGTGTTTGTTTCTGAGAAGACAAGAGTAAGACACCACTTTTGTCATGGTTTGTGGTGGGTTGGCTGCGCAAATCCCATCTGCCACTGATGGTACACTGCCCACCCCTGGTGGTGTCTCTCAACACAGTCAACTGCAACATGATTAATTTTTTTAAAAAGAAAAAAGAGGGGCGTCTGGGGGGCTCAGTCGGTTGAGTGTCCAACTCTGGATTTCAGCTCAGGTCATGGTCTCAGGGTCGTGGGATGGCAAGCCCATTGTCAGGCTCCTTGCTCAGTGGGGAGTCTGCTGGAGGTTCTCTCTCTCCCTCTGCCCCTCCCCCACCTTGCACACGTGCACGCTCTCTCTCAAATAAATCTTTTTAAAAAAAAGAAAACGGAAGGGTTTGAAAATGTGTTGAGAAAGTGGCCTTTTCTTTTATAACTTCAGAAACTGTATGTATCGAATTGTGTACATCAAAATATGAACATTTGCAAAGAGATTTGCTTTCCCCTTGTCTAAAAAGCTCACCTCTTGATAGAATACATACTTTGTACTTCATCTAATATTGAACAAAATTTTAAAGTTGCTCCTTCCCTAGACTATTGGTAATATATAGTTTTATATATGACTATAAATAATTGTATATAAATAAACTGTGGGCCTTGATCTTTGGAGGATGTTTGATTACCTAAACTTGGTAATTGTTTTATAGGATTAAAATTAAGTTGGATCAAGGAGGAGTGATTCAAGATTTTATTAGTGCCCTAGAACAGCTCTCTAATCCTGAAATGCTCTTTAAGGTAATGTAATAGCTTCTAGCTCATAAAACATAGAATTTGGATAAAACCTACTTGCAGTCAACTTGGTTTTTCTTTTTTTTTCTGCACAGGATTGGATTGATGATATCAAAGTCGAACTGGCAAAAACCCCTGTTAATAAAAAAAACATTGAAAAGATGTATGAAAGAATGTATGCAGCTTTGGGAGACCCAAGGGTTCCAGGCCTTGGGGTTTTCAGAAGGAGGTTTATTCAGGTATGGATAGGTGGCAGCCTGCTTTATAATAATGTAATCATTGTGAAGATCACTATTTATATTTGCTGGTTTGTTAATAATCCTGGTTTTAAAATGTCTGTTAAATTTGTAAACTTTTCTTCAGATCTAATGCTTTCTGAGAGATAGTGATGCACATATTTAGGTGAGATAGTGGCAGGTGGGGCTATTAATAGATAAAACCATGGGGTTTGTATTGCATTCTGTTCTTCATGCTCAGATTTTTAGATTTGAAGGTTATATGTAGTTTAATATATTTGTTAATTTTTTTCAATTTAAATTTTATTAGTTAACATATAGTGCACTATTGGCTTCTGGGGTAGAATTCAGTGGTTCATCACTTACATACAACACCCAGTGCTCACCACAAGTGCCCTCCTTAATGCTGTAGTTTAATATTTTTAATTCTCGTAACAATTTGAATGTTGAATCAAGAAAATATTTGTATTGTGTACAAGTTGGTGACCATTTTGAGCCCTTCCCTCTGTCCAAGGCATATGCCTTGCTACAGGACATACAAAGAGAAGACAGACCCAGTTCCTGAATTCAAAGAGATTGTCTGACAAATACAGTATATAAAGAACTGTGGCTTGAGAACAAGTATGATACATGAAATCTGTTTCTGAAGTTGCCCTAGAGTTGAAAGGAAGAGAATACCCCCCAGTTTGGAGGGAATCAGGAGAGCCCCTTGGAGCCCGTAGAGAACAAAATGAACCTTGAAATGTCCAGATTTCACAGCACCATGCCTTGTGCTTGTTGCTCCCTTTACATGGGTTTACCTTCTCTCCGTCCATCTGGAGAACTCACGCTTAGACACTTGGCTTATGCATCATTTCTCCTCTAGAGCCTTCCCTGAACCTCCTTACCCAACAAGATTTAGATACTCCTTCTCTGTTGTGTAACACACCATATGTATACCTCTGTTAGCATTAATCACTGATTTTTGTTCTAATTTTTGTCAAATTACCTTTGTTTCATAAACTTCAAGAAATATAATAGCATTAGGAGAAGTCCTGGTACTCATATTGCCAGAGTTCTCAAGTTTCACAGTCTCTAGTGCAAAGGAAGATCTTTGTCTCTTCTGGTTTTTTTAAATAACTGCTTTATTAAGATATAATTCACACACCCTATAATCCATCTGTTTTAAGTGTACAATGCGGGGCGCCTGGGTGGCTCAGTCGTTAAGCGTCTGCCTTCGGCTCAGGTCACGATCCCAGGGTCCTGGGATAGAGCCCCACATCGGGCTCCCTGCTCCATGGGAAGCCTGCTTCTCCCTCCCCAGTGAAGACTGTATTTTACTGTTAGCCAGTAAAAAATTTTTAAAAATTAAAGATGATTGGGGGCGCCTGGGTGGCTCAGTCATTAAGTGTCTGCCTTCGGCTCAGGTCATGATCCCAGGGTCCTGGGATTGAGCCCCACATCAGGCTCTTTGCTCAGTGGGAAGCCTGCTTCTCTCTCTTCCACTCCCTCTGCTTGTGTCCCCTCTCTCGCTGTCTCTGTCTCTGTCAAATAAATAAATAAAAATCTTTAAAAAAAATTAAAGATGATTGGGTAAATCTTGATGACTATTATTAAGCCACTATTAGTGATTCTCTTTTGTTTTTTGGGTTTTTTATTTTGATATCAGGATTATAATTTAAATAAATATTTGAATAGAGACTAATACAAACAAATATTTGTTATGTTCCAAGATAAAGTACTTCTAATAATTGCTTTTATAAATATAAATTATCTATAAAAGTACAGATTTGAAGGGGTACATGCACCCCAATATTTATAGCAGCATTATCAACAATAGCCAAACTATGGAGAGAGCCCACATGTCCATCGACTGATGAATGGATAAAGAAGATGTGGTGTATATATACAATGGAATATTACTCAGCCATCAAAAAACGAAATCTTGCCATTTTCAGTGACGTGGATGGAGCTAGAGTGTATTATGCTAAGTGAAATAAGTCAGAGAAAGACAAACACCATTTGATCTCACTCATATGTGGAATTTAAGAAAGAAAACAGATGAACATATGGGAAGGGGGAAAAGAAAAAAAAGGAGAGAGAGAAAGCCGTAAGAGACCCTTAAAGATAGAGAACAAACTGGGAGTTCACGGAGGGTGGTGGGTGGGGCTGGGCTAAATGGGTGATGAGTATTAAGGAAAGCACTTGTTGCGATGAGCACTGGGTGTTGTATGTATGTGAGGAATCACTGACTTCTACTCCTGAAGCTGATATTGCACTGTATGCTTACCAAAATTTAAATTAAAAAATAATAATAAAAGAAATACAAATTATCTAAATAATGTTTATACTGGCTTGTGATCCAAAATAATGGTTTAAAGATCTTTATTGCTCTTTAGCTCTGATGAAGAATCACAGGCTTTTCATTTTTGTTCAATTACTCCCTTTATTTAGTACCTCGTTCCTAATTACTCCTGCTGTCATAATGATGTAGATTAGTAGGGGCACTTGGGTGGCTCAGTTGGTTAAGCGACTGCCTTCAGCTCAGGTCATGATCCTGGAGTCCCTGGATCGAGTCCCACATCAGACTCCCTGCTCGGCGGGGAGTCTGCTTCTCCCTCTGACCCTCCCCTCTCTCATGCTCTGTCTCATTCTTTCTCTCTCAAATAAATAAATAAAAAATCTTTAATTTAAAAAAAAATGATGTAGATTAGTAACTAGACAATGGACACAAAGAGGTTAAAAGGTTTTTAAGCCCTTATTAGAACCTATGATTAGAATTTATGATTATAAGTCATTACTAACTGTATCCTTTCTGTCTTTTCAGAGGAACACACAAAGGCAGGCTTCATTGAGTTTAGAGTATTAAAACATTCAAGGAAAGCAAAAGTATAAATCTAGAACCTTTCCCAAATTTCAAACTAAACATTAATATTTAATGTAAATTATTATTAATTTCAGGCTTTTGGAAAAGAATTTGATAAACACTTTGGGAAAGGAGGTTCTAAGCTACCTGGAATGAAACTCCGTGACTTCACCAACATTACCAACTCACTATTTTATAAAATGTGCAGAGACTCAAAGCCACCTGGGAATCTGAAAGAATGCTCACCCTGGATGAGTGACTTCAAAGTAGAATTTTTGAGAAATGAGCTGGAGATTCCTGGTGAGTTTACCTTTGGGGTGACAAAACTGGACTTTAAGGAGAATAGTGGTATATAGCAGGGATTCTTTATTTCTAAAAATAGGAATTTTGGGTTCTTGATAGTTACCTTTTTTTTTTTTTTAAAGAATTTAAGATTTTGCCATACCTTTTTGTCATTAGGAGAATCTATAATTACTATTCATGAGTACACTGAACTAAATGTCTAATTAGATTATAGTTTTCTTACTTTTCCCGATTATACAAGTATTCAGACTTCCATTTAATAATGTAACTGGTAATTTCCTCTGAACATACCCATGCTTTGCTCCTAAATAACTTTTCTTCAGAAATGTAGTACAGGTATAAATGCAAATCACTTCCGTGGATGTGTATGTTGGTCCCATTTAAAATGACGAGATAATGATAAATGACTTACCTTCAGGACAAAGAAGTGTGACATTGAGGATAGAGACACACAGCAAGTTGTTCTGATGTGAACACAGCATGATTTTTCAAAGACAATCTTTATACATTCCATGTTCTTCACCCTGGAATTTGCCAAAGAAATGTTTTATTATGGTTATTCATATTCTTATCTAGTGAATATAAAAACAAATTGGAGACTTTTCTTTGTTATTAACAGCTCTGCATTGCATGAAGAAAAACTGAAAATGTAAGCCTCCTCATATGTAGCTACATTCTCCTTGAAATAAAGTGTTCTAGCTTAATGCATTATTTTTCCTGTTTGGAATTTGTCTACTCCATTAGAATAGGAAGCTAACTTCCATTAGTCAAATTGAGAAATAATAGCATTACTTAAAACAACTCAAATTTTGGGGGGCGCTTAGGTGGCTCAGTTGGTTAAGCATCCAACTCTTGCTTTCAGCTCAGGTCATGATCTCAAGGTTGTGAGATCAAGCCACCATCAGGTGCCGCACTTAGCAGGGATTCTGCTTGAGAGTCTCTCTCTGCCCCTCTCCCCCACCCCACCCCCCAAACATAGGTGCTCTTTCTCTGTTTCTCTCTTTAACATAAATAAATAAATCTTTTTAAGTCACGTTTTTTTAAAATGAAAACTTTTAGTAAAAAATTGTATCATACAGCTTTTTAAAAATTATTATTAGATCAATAGGTATGTGTTAAAAATACAGGGTTCTGTAACAAACTATATCTAAGTAAGGCTTCTGTGGTTTGTCTTAGGTCAATATGATGGCAAAGGAAAGCCAGTGCCAGAATACCATGCACGAATCGCTGGGTTTGATGAGCGGGTAGGTGCCAATGTTTGACAAGTTTTAGTGAGTAACTGTTGGATGAAGGAAGAGGAAATAGTCATAAATAGCTTTAAGGCCTGTTTCTCTTCATTGTACTCTATTCTGTCCTGAAAGTATTTACATAGGAGCAAATTTCTCATCAGTCACAAATGATTTCTGTAAAGATTGTGAGTGTGGGTCTTCAGGTATAAGAATGATGTATTTGTCTTTACTAAAGAAAAGACAATTTCCCGTCTTGATCTCAAATGCACGGAGTATTCTGATCCTATCACATATTGAATCTCTTAATATAATGCTTCAGTGTTACAAACTCAAAGTGTACAAACTCAATAAATTCTGTGTGTGTGTGTGTATCTATTTTAAAACATATGTAGAGTTAAATTAAGTAATTTTAGTAAGTTTGTATGTTGCTCATTACTAAGGATATCCACATTTATAAGCAATTATTTGTAACAAGGGATATGAAGTTTCTAGAGGTACAGCAGTAGGGCATAAACAGGTAACAAATATTTTGTTGGCAGTAGGTTCTCTATTATTTTTCTGTCACTTCACTCTGTCCTCAAGAGAGGTCTCTCTTTGAGGAATGTATGCCAACCAGCCTTACTTTTCCTCTTTTGATAATGATATGATCAGCTGTTTTGTCAATTTCTTAGACTGCATCTAAAATATTTTCATAATTTTTAAAGGTAAAAGTAATGACTTCTATCAGAAAGCCGAAGCGCATCATCATCCGAGGCCATGATGAGAAAGAGTACCCTTTCCTTGTCAAGGGGGGTGAAGACCTGCGGCAGGATCAGCGGATTGAACAACTCTTTGAGGTCATGAATGTCCTCCTTTCTCAGGACGCTGCCTGTAGCCAGAGAAACATGCAGTTGAAGACCTACCATGTCATACCCATGACCTCCAGGTGGGACCAAAGCACATGGTCATTCTAGAACAGATCTATGTGAATGGAAATTCTAGCACTGAGCCAGATCCTTGTTTAAGGTTACAGAGATGGGATTGGAGGTCACTTGACAATTTGGTATTTCAGCTTTCACAAAGACTGGGCTAAACAGAACTAATAAACACTTGTAAACCTATGATTTTCAAATTTAATGTAGAGAAGGTAAATGAAGAACTGACGTGAAGAACTCTGTTCTGCTTTGATTCTACAGAACTTTTTTCTAGTGAAGAAAGAACAGTTTAGATTTGTGTTCATAAACTATTTATTCTCCTTTTCAGATTAGGACTAATTGAATGGATTGAAAATACTTTTACCTTGAAGGACTTTCTTTTGAGTAACATGTCACGAGAGGAGAAAACTGCTTATACAAGGTGATGTGGAGCCTAAATACTCCTCCTTCAGCTCTGCCCAGACACATCCAGCAAGCCTGTTACTCCCCAGTCATAATCTCCCTGAGTAATGTTGTTTTATATTAAGTTTCCTCTACCTTGTGTTTCCAGTGACATTTCTGGGTTCCTTCTAATTTGGGGCTCTGAGCCACACCCTGGTTAGTTCTTTTCTCCACCTCTGGCTGGGTGAATAAACTAAATGGAGTAATTTAGGGTTCCAAACAGTAACTACATAGATTTTTACCACATTGAAAAAAAAAAAGTATTAGCTTTGCAACAACAATAAAAATCTTGAAGGAAATAAAATAATAAGATTAGCAGCTAACATTTGATTAAACATTTTCTGCAGGCTAGGCAGTATTCTCCGTTCTTAATGTGTATAAAGTCATTTCTTTCTTACAAAAACCACAACTTATTAACATCTTTGTACAGATGAGGAAGTTAAGGCCCAGAGAGGTTATGTAAATCGTCCTAAGCTTCTCAGCATGTAAGTGGGCTAGCTAGGATTATTAGTGATTAATTCTAAGTCAAGATATTGGTGCTTTTTATTTTTCTTTATCCTTTTATATTTTCCAAGTTTTCAACAATGAACATATATTTTTACTCAGAAAGCGTTTTGTTTTTTGTTTTTTGTTTCGGTAAAGAAAAATAAGGACAACATTGAAAGACATTTTGAAGGAGTTGACAAGTTTTGATGATTAACTATTGGATGAGGGAAGAGGAAATGGCGATAAATAGCTTCAAGACCTGTTTCTCTTCGTTGTACTCTGTTCTGTCCTGAAAGTATTTACATAGCAAAATTCTCATCAGTCAAAAATGATTTCTGTAAAATTAAGCATATTCTTATCAAACTCTTGCTCCTGCTAAATAAGGCTGTGTTTATGAACTTTTATTTTAGTCATTTGAGTCCTTTGCCTACAGTTGTTTCTGAGTTCCCTGGAAGACAGGGAAACTGATGGACAGTACTTTCTGGAGTCAGGAAGTCCAGATCTCACTTCAATGCTAACTTACAGTGGTTCTGACTTAGAGTAGGCATCTTGAAAAGGTGACTTGCCTTTCCCTTGTTCCCATGCCTCCATTTCTAAGATGGGATAGTAATGTAAAATACATAAAGTGAACATAGGTGTTGATGGAGTTTAAAGTGCTTTTCAAATACAGAAGTGTATAAATTACTTCCCACTACCTTTTTAAAACAAGGCACTTCCAGCCTCTATTAGTAAAATCATTGCTACTTTTTTCTTAATTTACGTGTTGCAGTTTTCCAACTTAGATTTTCATCCCAAATGAAACTTGGAGAGAATTTAGACTGAAGTGGAAAGCTGTATTGTGAAATTAACTTAGTAGCAACTCAGAAAAGATTCACTTTAAGTGATTGAACTACTAACTTTGTGAAATAGTTCTATCTTGAGATTTCTTTTTAGGAAGACTTATTAAAGCTTTTGACAAACCCCAAAGTGGCCGAACATAAAAACACATGTTTCCAACAGCCCAATATGCCTTTTGTCTGTGAAGTATTACTAAAAACAGCTTTCTAAATTCAATTCAAAGCCATTATCATTTAAGAAAATATCTTACTGTATTTAGTATGGATTTTGTATGTATCTGCATACTGGAAATGGTGAAGAAAAAATGTGGCAATCCAAAAACAGACTTCATCCATCTTCAACACTAATTGGTGGCCTTTTAGTTTGTGGAAGTAATATGGCTTATCACTTCTTGCCTACTCTGAGTAAGTTGCACGTTGTGCTGTCATCTTGCTGCTATGGGTTTTTCCACTACCAGATTTTTAGAACCATATGCCTGGATCATAAACACTCACATTTAGTTCATCTTGTTCCTGTCTGTATGAAGTGGAAATTTATTGTCTCTGATCATTTTGTGCCTGAATTTTTGCATAGGAAATAGCTTTCGTTTCTTTAGGAGTAACTAAGCATGAATAATGATATATTAAGATTCTAGATCCAGAGTAGCATGGAGTCAGTGTTAATATTAAATATGATTGGGGCGCCTGGGTGGCTCAGTTGGTTTAAGCAACTGCCTTCGGCTCAGGTCATGATCCTGGAGTCCCCGGATCGAGTCCCGCATCGGGCTCCCTGCTCAGCAGGGAGT